GGAGGAGAATTTAGTAATTTTTGCGATTTGATGCAAAATTTTAAGAACTTAAGTTTTCCATTTCCTGGAAGAAACGAAGATGTAGAAAAAGTTTCTGAGAGCTTACATGTTTTGTCTGACTTAATAGATCCGATCCTGGGAATTTTCGTCGGTGAGGAGACTGTTGGAGGTTACCATGGTCAACTGGGTGGACCTGGGTCACTTTTTCACTTATTTTTAATAATGTTAGGTCACTTTTTGTGGGTCCATCTTGATTTTTCAGTTCCTGCACCGGTTTGTCTATAAATTTTATGGGACAGCCTAGTTTCGGTTCGTCTACAAGTCCACTTTAATTTTTGAGTTTTATGCCGGCTCAGCTGCAGAATGCACGGTGACTTTTTGGTTTCTGCTTCCCCAGTCTTGAGGATCTGCCTTGACCCAAAAAATCCTGTAATTAGTAAAGCGAAAATTATCCTTAACTTCATCTTTTATTAAATCTGTTTTCTTTTCAGCTATTGCTTGCCAGGAGAAAATTTTGCTGTTTTTAGTACATATGAAATTTTTTTTAGAAAATATATTAAAGTGTTGCAAAAAAAAAATCATGAGCAGTTTGTTAATCGTAGGAAATGTAGTTCCATTTTCGCTGAGATTAGTGGGGCCGTTGGTTTCTGGATTGGAAGAAAAAATTAGTTATGAGAATTTTTCAGGAATTTTGATTAAAATCCATTTCTACGGAATAATGTGATATTTTGAACCGAAACAAACATCGCACCAGTTTGTGTACATAAGTAACTTGTATAGAATTTGTTCCGGTGTGCTTTTCTCTTGGGAGTTTTTTTGATGCTGTGCCGGCCATAATTCTTCTGTAATAATTCGTGATATTGATATCGATTACACTGATATGATTTTGCTGTACTACTTGTTCCATTGAATATTCCAAAATAAAATACTGACTATTTTGAATTTTGATATTTTTGAGGTAAATGAGGAAATCTTGATATTCAGCGATCTTTTCGCTATCGATTTTTTTTTCCATTCGTCCTTCACCTGATTTTTTGCAGTTTATTTTCCCACTCGTTTAGGAATTTGGTGCTGGCGTCCTTGTCCGCAGAGATTCCAGATCCAACCCCCAGGTGTGCATAGCCCTCAAGTACGAGCGTCTGAAAATTTGTTGAGGGAAAATTACTAATTTGGGAACGGGAGAAGCTGGGCGCTGAAATCTTAAGGGATGACCCTCATCCGAATATAGAGTAAAAACTTCGAAATCAGTCCCCACGCACACGTAGGGCTCGCGTGCAGGCACGTGAAAGTTTTGGCGTGAGAATTGCTAGCTCGGAGACCAGAAAGGTTAGGGATCTGAAATTTTTTTAGAATGTTCCCTGTCCAAGTACAACTTAGACGTTTCATATTCAACGCCCAGGTGTACGTGATTATTTTCACCTATGGGCGCGTAAAAATTTCGGCGGGAAAATTGCTCATTGAACAGCTAGCCATTTTCAAGGAACGGCAGGGCCGTTAAACGGAAATTGTTCATTTCCCTTACGCAAAATCTAAAATGACTTTCCGTTGATGATTACACAAGGAGATTGTAAAGCAACAACCACTCATACAGTTAACAGCCTGGCTGCTTCGAGTTCGGTAAAAAAACACGTGATCGCACCGGCAGACTTGGTACGTTCCAACCCGCTTTAGCATTGTTTAGTGTCTTTCTAACGATTGGTCAAATTTTGCATTTTTTCGACTAATTTTTGCCTTATTTCCCCCTCCCTCCCTCCCCCTCCCTTCCTCCCCCGCCTCTGATGATTTTTGTCTTTAATAATAGATGCTATGTTCGTTATTTGGTTTGAGCAGAACTATAAATAATAAAAAGCAGATGTGATTTTGGCACTGCATGGCTGAAAAAGGAAGCCCCACCTGTTAGCTTTATGGTCGCAAAGAAGCCATTTCATTTCATGGATTTGTTGGATTTTAAGGAAAAGTTGGCACTTTTCCTTACCATGCAATAGAAAAAACTTGCATTCTTGTTGTGCCAACAGTTCTTTCTCTGAAGTTTCTTATATTTTAAAATTTATAGTTGGCTGGAGTTGGAAATTAGGTCCTTCCGTGCGTTTTACACGTAGAGCTTGACTGAATTGGAACGCAAAATCTGTTCAGATGTTTACTCCGGATACAATTTTTTTAGTTGGTGGAGTTGTGTGGCGCGAAATAAGGATTCATTGCTTCACGAGCGTAGTTGAAGTGATCAATCTATCGAAAAATCATATGTAAGTTTTATTACAGTTTGTTTACGTTATTCTTTGATAGTCAAGAAAAATGCATACTTATATAACTATTTAATGCCGCTAAAGTTTTGAAGTATTACATAGTAATGGCACTAAGGCAGGGATAAATGAAAATTACAACCTTTAGCAGTTGA